AAAAAMMMCYYWAAAAAGACCTCWCAAAAGACCTCAAGGGGGCTGCAAAGCTCAAGGAGGACTCTCAGGGCTTTTCCCAGCTCTGAGGTGCGAGAGCAAAGTGAGGATCCCCAAGGCTCTGACACAAGGAAGGGCTGGGGAGGATTTGGGGCTCCTCGTGGTCCTGGGGGGTTCCTCTGCCCTGGGTGAGTTTTCAGGGTGGGAAGGCACCACAAGGTCCCARCTCAGCCCTCTTGGCACCTCCCAGCCCAGTGCCACATCCTGCCAAGCCCTCACCAGAAGGAAGAATTTCTGCCCCCTTCCAGCTAAACTCAGTTTATTCTCCCCTTGCTCAGCACAGAAAAAACAGCAGCTCCCAGGATGAAATCTGTGACTCAGTGCTGGAAGCAGAATAACAAGAGGAAACCTTTTGGCCATGGTGTGAAAGGTTTTTGCTTTCAAGAGGAGATAAAATAAGGCTCTGATTTGTTTAAATGATGGTGAGTCCAGCCCTTCCTCTGCCCCAGGGCTCTCCTGGTGGCTCCGGGGGGGGGTGGTTCCCAGACCCAGGGAAAGCACCAAGACAGAGAATTTTTCCTCAAAAGGTTTTCCCCGAGTGCTTGCAATAATTTTGAGCTTTTCAGCCATTCTCCYTGGCTGGGGCACCGGGAAGGTGGAGGAGGGCACGAGCCTGTGTTGCCCTTCTCCCTGTYCGTGGCTGMCATTCCCACGGATTTGGTGCCACAYGGGTGTCCCTCRATGCCCCAGGTCCTCCCCAGCACAAGGAGCCGTCGCTGCCAGGCTGAGCCGTGCCCTGCAGAGCCTGTCACACACCCTGGCAGTGGCCATGGCCCGCGGTGAGGACAAGGAGCCGCTCCCGTCCTTCTCGGCCACCTCTGAGCGCTCCCTGCCCGCCTCGACAGCTCGGGGGTGGCCTCAGGGCAACCCAAATGTTCCTCCTTGAGCACACAGGGACTGTGTCACCATGAGGGACCCTCACTGAGCTGAGAGGGATCAGACAGGAATGGCCACCAATGGCAGGAAAGGCCACCAGTGCCAGGGATGGTCACCAGTGCCAGGAACGGCCACCAATGCCAAGAATGGCCACCAATGCCAGGGATGGTCACCAGTGCCAGGAATGGTCACCAGTGCCAGGGATGGCCACCAATGGCAGGGATGGCCACCAATGCCAGGGATGGTCACCAGTGCCAGGAATGGCCACCAGTGCCAGGAATGGCCCTCAATGCCAGGAATGGCCACCAGTGTCAGGGATGGCCACCAATGCCAGGAAAGGCCACCAATGCCAGGGATGGCCACCAATGGCAGGGCTGGCCACCAGTGCCAGGAGTGGCCACCAGTACCAGGAATGACCAGCAATGCCAGGGGTGACCACCAGTGCCAGGGGTGGTCACCAATGCCAAGGGTGGCCATCAACACCTGGAATGGCCACCAATGCCAGGGACACGTTGCCCATGGCAGGGCTGGTCACTCCCAGCCCCCAGGTCCAGCTGCAGCCCTCGGCTCGCCCTGCCGTGCCCACGAGTCCCCCCATCCACCCCTCCATCCATCCATCCATCCTCCCGCCCATCCCGCTGCCAGCCACTCACGCCCCGCACGCCAGATCCGCCCTGAAACGCTCAAAATCGCAGGCGCTTAACAAATAATCAGCTCCGCTCCGCTGCCACCGGCGCTGCTCCCGCACGGGCTGCCGAGGTCGCCGCTCACCGCTGACTCACATCAAAGAAACTTCCAAAAATAGTCGCCTCTCCTGCCGCGCTGTCCCTGTCACGCCCGGCCGGGGATGAGCCCCGTGGCCCCCGATCCCCCGAGGCCAGCGGGAGCCCGGCTGTGCCCGGGGGGTGCCCAGGGGCTGCCCCACATCAGGGGTTCAACGCCGCAGAAATTCGTACCTGGGGTCGGCCGCCGCCTCCTCGTCGGCTGCAGCCCCCGAGMGGCTCCGGCTCTCCCGGGTAAAGAACAGCAACAGCTGCCCAAGGGAGCCGGAGCAAAATAGCGCCCAATCACCGGGGCCCGAGCACCGCAAAAGGCAGCTCAGCCCCGGCCCCGAGCGCAGGGGCTGCCCCGGGCACGGGCTGTGGCTCTTTGGGCACCTGACAGGGGTTTGTCCCTCTGTGAGCGAGCCCAGAGCACCGGGAGGGGACAGGGAGGGGACAGGGCTGTTTGTGCCCCAGCCCTGGGGGTCTGAGCCGGCTGTGGGAGGGATGGAGAGGGATGGATGGATGGATGGATGGATGGATGGATGGATGGATGGATGGATGGATGGATGGATGGATGGATGGATGGATGGATGGATGGATGGA